CTTTTCATTTCTCCCTCACTTGGCATAAAAACTATTCATTCCATCTTCAAAATCATGCAAATGTTACACTACGAATTAATTTAAAAGGCGGTAATATTTTCATGTAGCAATCCTCCTGATTCACGGTGACCGTTGTCGTGACCGAGTGGTTGATGGTCCTTAACTTAGTGTTATGTGCAATCGAACTCTTGTTTTTGAACAATTTGAGTATTGTAATGTGTGCAATCAATAATTATTATAGTGATAATGAACAGATAAATGAATATTGGTAAAACTACAGGAAATCTAAAGCAGAATTCCTCCTCATGAACGGAAAACTTCGGTCCTAGTGTGGAGTTCTTCTACAGTTTTTTCAAAGTCTATAAAACTTTAGATGGGAAGAATAAATGTATCGGTAAACTTCAAATTAAATTCGAATCTAAAACGACGCCTGTAAGTCGGGAACTCTTATCGGATGAGCAATTTTCATGCAGAAGGTCAACGCTTATAGTAGCTTATCAATTGCTTGAATATTATATATTTTATTACATTTTCTCTACACGCGCGCTTTAAAAGATTATCTAGTAAATATAAAATGCAGGATGAAAAAAATGAGGAACTCATTAATGTGTTTTCCGTATTCAGAAAGATTTGTGCGATTAAATTATAAATAGGTTGAAAATTTATTCCGAAATTCTATCGGTTAAAAAGACACGGTATTCAATGGGACAGAGCATTCTTCAAAGCAAGGGTTTCCAAATCGCGTCCCGCGGGCCAATTACGGCCCGCATAACGATTTAATCTAGCCCGCCGAACTCCTGTGAAATAGGTTAATTGACGCTTGTTACTCCATTATCACAGTTTAAGCACGTGTATATTCGTAACAAGACAATAATTCCGGCATGTTATGTATACTTACCTGTATTAGGATTACATACGGCGTATTATAGTTTCGGCCGTATAAAAAGCTTGAAGGTGTCAAAAAACGAAAACTAGACACTAAAAACAGACGTTTTTTAGTTAAATGGTAGCGTTCTTATTTGTTTACTGAAAAGAATCAACCTTCAGAGTTTTTCTTCCATGTCAACAAACTAACCAGTTATGCAACATTAGACGCTATTATGAGACGAAGCATTCTTCAAATTACGATCAATTAACGCGTATTTCATAATCAAAGTCAACAAACATGTTCAAAAATGTCAAATAGAAGTGAATCCACTTTATTCGCTAGTTATGTTGTGGCCCAGAACATCGCTAAAAATAACCGCCCGTTGATTAAAGGGAAATTTTTCCGCGAGTGTATGCTGCAAGTTTTTTTTTATTTCTCCTGATACGGAGCGTAAATTTTCCAACATTAGTCTTAATAACAACACAGTTATAAACCTTAACAAATCAAAACTTCGGTCCAGACTGACAGATATTTACTGGAATGCTTTATTGCAAATACAATGAATGTACTGAATTTGAGCAACGTTTTGAACATCTGATTTCCAGCATACCTTAAATACGAGGTTACGTATACAATAATACATAACCAAATTATGTTGGCATTTTTTTGTTTTATGTTCATATACATTAGGATGTTTTTTTTGTGTAACAAAACAAGCCACAAGTAATCATTTATACGAGGTGGTATGCCAGATGTAACTTCATTAGTCACTATTAGTTACAAATTCCTTGTTAAAATTCGTGCTTGGTATTCCTCTTGTATTCTATCACCTAACTATTATACATATTATTTTTTTACATAACAAACTACGATGCTATGTGTATTTAGAATCAAGCGTGCAGTCTATACTAGGACCTATTATTCATAAGCTGTGTCGTCATGCCCTTTTTGACAACCACCTTTTCTAGCCCGTGAATATCTTTATGCTTTGAATTTTGGCCCGCGGTCAATCAACTTTGGGAACCCCTACTTTAAAGAATACCTTTGACTACATCGAAATCATGGCCCA